GACGACGTGATGACACTTTGACGAGTAAGCCCCGTACCGAACATGTAGACATGCTCGCTTACCAAATTGTGCATCCAGGCGCCGTCAGGATGACGTTCATGGTATCTGGGGAGCAAGATTGGCGAGATGAGAAAACCGCGCGAGGTTTTACGTTTGCGAGGCGCACTGTTCAAGTTCAATGACACCATAATCTGCTCCGCGAACGTACTGTGAGAAGCTGGACGTGTGGCGGGAAGCAGTGTGCTTACCATCATAGGTATACATGTAGCACAGGAGATTAGGACATATCCAAGCCCTTGTGAGACGATGGTCGCCCACAGCGGAGACCTGGTGGGTAATCTCTGGCGGCACATGCCGGCGAGGGTGAACACGAGGATGATCAGGTCCCATGCCAGCGCTACGACAGGTGTCAAAAACCAGCAACGGGCGGTGACAGGAGCCGGGGACGCACTGAAAGTGTAGAAACTGACCAGCTGCGGCTGACTCTTCGACGTCAACACCATACAGACGCTGTGCACCGAATTCCATTTTGCTTGCACGGATTCCAGACCCACTGCGATGCAAGAGTATGTCGATAAGCAGATGAGACACGAGAGCCCTGAGACGTACTGATGACTGCAAGGAGCCCGTGAACGGCACAGATAACGGCGAGTCCGATCTTGATAAATCGAATGTCTTGCCACATTGCGACTCTAGAAGCTGATCAGAAGAAGTGGGATTCTCTATCCTGGAGCACGTACGCGCGGAGGCCAAGATTTGTGCTTGCCGCTGCGAGCGCTATATTTCCTAGAATCTAGCGGAATGGTAAGCTTGCAGCTTGTAAGACCAGCAGAAGAGCTGATGCTAACCGCAGCCACCTTCAGCACAGCTGTACAAGATGGGCTCAGGTCAAAGCTATCTGCAGCGGCAGTACGACGCTCACCGGAGCTGCCACAATTGAGGAGTATCTGTTCGACATTTGTCGAGATTATGCTGAGAGTGTATCATTTGAGTATTTTATAAGCCAAGCGGAAATTCCGAAGTTCGCTTACACGGTAAGCACAGTTATGAGATGACAGTATCGTGCTGTAAAGTATGAGATCTAGGAGGATGTTGCGGCTAGGTGAGAAGTCGGATTACAGACTGACGGGAGGCGGACATACATGGGCCCATGTGAAGCGCATCCTGCGTGTGAGCAGGGCCCACTCTACCTTATGCAGAGAGAGGAGCCAGTACCACCTGCCGTCGTGAATACGTCGCTCGAGGGGTGTAGGGTATGAAAACATACACATAGAGTCCGGTGGAGAAGACAGCAACCAGCCTGAAGATAAACCCACATAATGCCTGCACCTCCTGGTCCTTCCACTGAATCATACGTAGCGCAGAGCGTGCGTCTCGATGTAGTAGAGCCAGGGTTCCTTACTCTAGCCGGCCGAGAAGAGAAGGGATGGTCGCGAAGGAGCGGGGAGCGGGTCATATTCTCGCGGTCGCCCCGTGGTGATGATGGAGAATTGAACAGGCGCACCATTACCCAGTATGGTAAGGCGGCTTTCTGGTCGTGATGACGTCCCTGAACACTCGCGATGGCCGACAACAATCCGACGCGCGGCTCTTGCTGCGGCTCTGGGAGTCTACCAGGGGCCCTTATCCGGTGACAGGTCCAGGGAACGTATATTCGCGCGACATACCGAAAGCGCTCAAACGCCACAAAGCCAGCGGCAAAAAAGGGCCAGCCGCTGCCACGCAAGCATGCTTCACGAGTTATGTCAAACCTGTTCGGAACAAGTCCTGCAGGACTTGTGTTGCCGAGCTAAACATACATTAAGTGGCGTTTTACTGGCTTCTTGTAGTGCTATAATCCTTACTCTTCCACATGCGTCAAGCCTTGTCTCTTCGGAGCACTAAGCCCTTATCGAAACTTTTAGCTTGAGACAGCAGAATAGTATTGCATCTAAGTTATATTTCAAGAAGAATAGCTTTACGCCCGTATAGCAGTGGAGCATGGCAATATCAACGTAGACCAACGGATTACGACCCGCTATAGGGGTACGGCGCTTTTAGCTCATGAGTGCGAGGCTGGTGTGTCCGATGCGCCTTCTCGCTGTGCCGAAACTCAGAGTTTTCCTCGCTTAGGCTACCACGATCCATATTCTGCCGCGCCAATGCCGTCTGCATACGCAGATGCTCGCTCTTCGATGGCCGCCAAGCAGGGTCATTACGCAGACAGCCTTTCAGCGGCTGACCTGCTTTTGGCGACGCAGGCTTTGGTTGCCGCTGAGGGTGCTCCTGGGCTTTCTCGTCGGAAATTATAGGCGGACCGTGACGTTCCTTCGGCTCGGAACACCATCTCTCAGGGTGATGTGTCTTACTGCGTCGGCCGATGAGGCGGTGCGTGTCCTTCTGTGCCCGAGCGACATGGTCCGTTTCGCCTTTGGCACGGGCGTCG